TTCCTAGCAGTTCATGGTATATATTCAATACTCTTCTCCAGCACCACGACCCAACGGCATCAACTCTCCTTCTATCATCCCTAGTCATTGCCCAGCTCTCTGATGCCTAGCAAGTAATAGCAAGACTATGGCCTGAATTAGACGCACCTTAGTCTCCAGACTGACATCGTTGCTCTTCAGTATTTTGGAGAGGTCTCTGACAGCGAACTTTCCCAATGTAATTTGTCTTTTCATTTCCCGGCTCCTGGTACCAAGAGTGTTGATAGTGGAGCCAAGCAAACTAAAGCTGTTATTTGGTGCCTTTGAATTGTGGTGTTGGGAGAAAAGTATCGAATACCCTCTGGATTGCCAAAAACAAACCAATCTGGTTTGGTAAAGTGCAAACAGAGTGCTCCTTAGCGGCAAGGATGGTGAAACATTGTTTTACAGACTTTGGGTATATTGTCAGAGGGGTCAGTCCTTGGAAAAAGACAGCATGTTGAGAATGGCCAGATAAAGATAGAAGACTATTAATAAGATGAATTGACATTAAGACTGTAACAGTGGACTCCAGTATGGCAGAGATTGGAGTCTGGTGAATGATAGGGAATTATTTCAACCTGCATTAATGTGAATGGTAGTCATTCAACAGCATTTAACAACACTGAACATCTGTCTGAACTTACTTTTTAAAGTAAAAATAGATTTATTAGACTGTTACCTCCCAAAGGGACTGACTTTCCTCCTTGAAAAGGAAATACCGAGGAAGCGCTGTTTGACTTTTTAACATTTATTATTATTATTATTATTATTTGTGTACCATCAAATCAGATCTGACTGGTACAGAAGTTGATTGTCTCTCCTTCTCCAGCAGAGCATCTGGTGGATTTGAACTATGCACCTCTAGGATTGCAGTGCAGCTTCCTGCCACTAGGCCACCAGATGTCCCTTGTTTGACTTTTAAAAATCTTCCTTTAAACGTTATGCTTTTTGGATGTGAGTGTATGAAACAAAAACAAATCCCAAGCGTAATTCCCCCCCAAGTCATTTTCAAAATATATTTCTCACGCGTCCAAATTTATAACCTACATGGCTGTCTTACGTGTGGAGTATGAGTGTGTGCTCAGGCACTTGTTAGCTAAGAATATGAATTCAAGTGCAGCTCAATATTAGCTTCAATATAAAAACTGTACAGAATTTTGTATAGGTGATAAAGATTCTCAGAGAAATACACTTTAAAAATGCAGCTTGTAGCTTTCTGAGGGGCTACTACATACAGTTAGATTTTAAAGCTTCTGATGCTGAATGTTTCAAAATAGTTAATGGTTCGCCTAGGAAATTAGTATCAATAGTAAATTTTGGGGTTTTTAGAATGTTCCATTTTGGTTTTTTAAAGAAGTTTCATAATAAAATTATGTACATTTAAAAAAAAAAGTCCACGGCAAGAAGCTGCACTGCAATCTCAGAGGGTCACGGTTCAAATTCACCAGATGCTCTGCTGGAAAAGGAGGAATAATCTCCTCCTGTATCAGTCAGATCTGATTTGACAGTACACACAAAAAATAATGAAATAAAGTAAAAAAAAAAAAAATTTAAAAAAGTCCAACATACAATGCAAAAACAACTTACATGAATGATATAAATGCATCCACATGCGGAAGGCGGCTGTAGTTAAGGAGATGTTGTATTCAGTGTATCTTTGGCACTGGGCACAGAGAGGTGGGAAGTTTTGGGGTTGACAGGAATAGCATCTGACTGCACGGGTCCGGAACCTTTCGGTCGCACCCTAGCAAGGATACTTGGCAGAACTAAACTTCCGGCGGACGTGCCACTTCCGTGCGGGGCAGCTGATTCAGCCGAGCCGGATGCAAACCGGAAGTACGTCATCTTTCAGTCCCTGCCCTTCCAGGAAGTGACGCGGGGCGGGGTTGCCGGAAGAAGTGGCGAAGTTACTTTTTAGGGGACTCCAGCAGTGGCCGCGCACAAGCGGATACAGAGAAGGAGGCAGCGGACCAGAGAGAGGGGACAGAGGCAGGTGTGCCCGAGAGTGGGGGGAGCGTGGGGGGAGCCCCGGGTCCGAGGCTTCCCGATCCTCTTCGCCTCTCCGCTCAGCCCCCTCCTTTCCTGTTACCCCCTCCCTTCCGTAACTCGCTCCGGTCCCCGCTGTCTCCAGGGTAACGGGAACTGGAGACCCCGCGAGAGACCGCCCACAAGACCCCCCGCGTGCAGCCATGAGCCCCGCCCCCCACTGGTGCTCGGAGAGGGGCGGAACCTGGAGCAAGGTGTGGGGCGGAGCCTAAGGGGGCTGGTGGGAGCAGAACCTGATTGGGGTGAGAGGCGGAGCCTGGGATGAGGCGGTGGGCGGGCTTTTGGGGGGAAGGGGGTACAAATGGGGTGGGGCTTAGTTCGAGACCTGAATTGGCAGAGATGAAAGCCAGACTTGGAAGGAATCGGGTGGTGGTCTGGAAGCAAAAAAATGGGGGCTTTATTGGAAGCAAAAGATAGAGTCAGAGCACGAATTAGCTCAGAAGAGGCCAGGTGAAGTTTGAATAAGTGTAGGTGAGGTGTGGTACGAAAGGATTGGAGGAGGAGAGGCCACACTTGGGGAGAGGGCAGGTGGGCGGGAAGGCGTGGAGGGGGTGTGTGTCCTGGAACAGAAGGGGCAGGACCTGAGTAGAGCTGATAGGTGGGATTTTTAGAGGGGAGGAGCCTAGAGCCGAAAGAGGGGCCGGGTCTGTTAGAGTGGGATGAGAGGTTTTGGAAGCTGGATATGGAATCAGTGGAATTGGGGAGGAGTGGGAGAGAGATCGAGAAGGACTAGCCTGGAGTAGGGGACCTTTCCTGATCCCTCAAGACTCTTTAAAAGCACACTGCTGCTGCTAAGTCAGCTTTGTCTGAACTAACACACCAGCTCTCTAAGGTTTCTGAAGTTGTAATCTTTAGTGAGCAAACTGTCACAGTCTTTCACCTACCAAGTGACAGGTAGGTGTGAACCGACAACTTTGAGTTAAGCACTTAACCCAGTCTATCACTAGCACGCATTTTAAGGTTCTTCAGATAAACAGAACCCCGACCACACTCAGTGCCCCTCAGTGGATTCTGACTCCCAGTTACCCCGTAGGACAGAGAAGAACTGCTCCATCTTGCTTCCAAGGCTGTCATCTCTAGGGAGGCCGACTGACACACTTGTGGCTGGTGGGTTCAAGCCTCCAGCCTTTCAGTTGGATACTCTAATCCCAGCGCCACCTGCAGTTCTCAGTCCCCCTCTCTTCTGCAGGCAGCTCCGTGACCTCACCATGTCCACCCCCACTACCAGTTCCGTGGACAGTCCCCTGCCTGGTGAGTGTCCCTCATAGACCCCTCTGTCTTCATCCTCACTCACTGTTCAGGAGGTGCCTCACTCGTCCCTCCCTGTTGCCTCTCTCCCAGGAAATGCCCCCCCACAGTCCGACAGCCCGTGTTCGTCTCCCGCTGTGAAGGAGGAAGGCTCTGAGCCGTGGCCTGGAGGTCTGGACTCTGATGCCCCAGGCACTGATGGGGCAGGCTCTGCCTGCAGTATGGGTGAGCTGGGGCCCAGAAGTGAACGTAGATGTGAGGGGTTGAGGTGGCATCTAAGAAGACACAAAGAGCAGACCCAGGACAGGGACACAGCAGGTCTCGCCTCCTTATTGGTTTTGTGTGTTCCTCTGCCTTTTCCTTCTTGCTTTGAGCCATTCTTAGAAATTCTCTGATTTGTTCCATCCAGATCTCCTATTTCCCCTGAGAGTTCACATCCTTACTTGGCCCTCTCTTCTGAACCTGTCTCCCTGTGGCCCCATGTCTCACTCCTCTACTGTCTCATAACACAGTTACCACAGTGGTTGACTTCTGCATGTGCCTGGGGGTCTAGGAGGTTCACAGCACAGGGACTCCTGGTCCACAGAATGCACTCTATTCATAGCTCTTTCCTGGTGCTAATTAGCTGCCTCTGATGTCACCTCCCTTGTTGTAGCTTTCATGTCTTAAAAGAGATGCACTTTTCAAGGTACAGCCTAATCCTGTCGATTTTCCCCTTCCTCCTTAACATAATCTTGCTTCCTTAACATCATTTTAAAAAATTGAAACTCATTACCACCAAGTTGGAACTGACTCATACCTGACCTTCCAGCTGTCTTCAGAAGCTGTAAACCATATGGGAAGAGACTGCCCATCTTTTCTCCCACAGAGCCGCTGGTGGATTTGAACCACCTGCCTTTGGATTGGGAGCACAACTCCTTACCCACTAGGCCACCAGAGCTCCCTAACATAGAAGTGAGGATTTACAACACGTAGGATAAATACAACAAGTAGAGGGCAATTTATTGAGGTCAAAGCAGAAAAGTTTACCTAATGGAATGCTTGTATAGCCAAGGTGAAGAATATTTTTTTGGGGGGGACACAACTCAACCCATCACACCCCATCTCAGGATTCTTACTCTCTTCTTCACATCGCAGTCATCGCAGACCCCCCTGAGGAGCCAGAGCGCAAACGGAAGAAGGGCCCGGCCCCCAAGATGCTGGGCCACGAGCTGTGCCGCGTGTGTGGCGACAAGGCGTCAGGCTTCCACTACAACGTCCTCAGCTGTGAGGGCTGCAAGGGCTTCTTCCGGCGCAGCGTGGTCCGCGGCGGGGCCGGGCGCTACGCCTGCCGCAGGGGGGGCACCTGCCAGATGGACGCCTTCATGCGCCGCAAGTGTCAGCTGTGCCGTCTGCGCAAGTGCATGGAGGCGGGGATGAGGGAGCAGTGTGCGTGGGGCCAGCGGAAGGGACGGGAGCGGCCCCCCCAGTCCCCCTCGCAGGACCTCTGCTGAGCTCCGTGTCCCCCACACAGGCGTCCTTTCGGAAGAGCAGATTCGGAAGAAGAAGATTCAGAGGCAGCAGCAGCAGCAGCAACAGTCATCATCACCCGTGGGGCCTGGGGGCATCAGTGGCCCAGCAGCCGAGCCTGGGGCCGAGCCTGGGGGACCTGAAGGGAGTGGCCAGGGCTCCTCGGAAGGAGAGGGCGTCCAGCTGACGGCGGCCCAGGAACTCATGATCCAGCAGTTGGTGGCCGCCCAGCTGCAGTGCAACAAGCGTTCTTTCTCGGACCAGCCCAAGGTCACGGTATGCCCGGTGTCCAGCTTGAGGAGGGCCGGTCTCACCCGGTTCCCACCGGCCCAGTAGAGGGAGGGCAGGAGCTCCAGCGGGGACAGATTGGGCCTCCTGGTGTCCCCTGGATTTTGAGGAGGCATCCTGGGTGTGACTCTGGCCTCCCCGTCTCCCCAGCCCTGGCCCCTGGGTGCAGACCCCCAGTCCCGGGACGCTCGCCAGCAACGCTTCGCCCACTTCACGGAGCTGGCCATCATCTCCGTCCAGGAGATCGTGGACTTCGCCAAGCAGGTGCCCGGCTTCCTGCAGCTGGGCCGCGAGGACCAGATCGCCCTGCTCAAGGCGTCCACCATCGAGGTAAACGGCCAGCAGGACAAGGCCCTTCTGCGGCTGTGAACCCCTCCGAGGAGGCCCCAGGTGGAGGCGCGTTCACAGCGGGGAGCAGGACTCAGCACCCCCGCCCTCCTGGGGGTGACGGCCCCACAGAGGAGGAGGAGCTGTTGTTGGTAGCTGCTGTGAGGTCATCCCTGACCCATGGTCATCTTAAGTGTGCTGTGAACTGCCCTGTGTGGGCACCAGGATGGTGAGCAGTTGTGTAAGCAGATTGCATAGCCAGTCTTCAGAGGTGTTTCTGGTTGGATTTGAACTGCCAGCCTTCTGGCCTGTAATCAAGCGTGTAACTGCTCGCCCCGGCTCTGCTTGAAAATCTGTTGCTGTTTTGTCTAGAGACCTTGAGTAGAACTTGAATCCAAGCAGAACTGTAGGGGTCAGACCTGCCGTCTGAGCTTTGCCCACCTCAGGAGAGAGAAGGTCGAGGGGCTGAGTTTGGGGAATGGACTCAAGGGGCCCCCTTTGATGGGAACGTATCTAAGAGACTTTGCAGAGGAAGGTAGGTGAATACTGTGTACCGCCTACATCGGGAGCTCTGCTGGCCTAGTGGTAAGAAGCTGCGCTGCAATCAGGGAGGCTCATGGTTCAAACCCACCAGCTGCTCTGCAGGAGAAAGATGGGCAGTGTCCTCTCCTGCGATTAACTGTTGTTGGAAATCTGTCGGAGGTTCAGCTATGGATCGGTTCCAAGTCGATGGAACTATAACAGCAGTCAGTTACATACGAACCCTGGTGGCACAGCCTTTCAGCAAGCGGCTGTTCACCCGGAGAAGGGAACTTCGAGAAAATCATTCTATGTGAAACACCAGAAACCAGGCCCACTGCCGTCGGCCGTCGGCTCTCCATGCCTGTCAGTCTCTGTGGGAAGAGAATGTTCCAGCGTTCTTCTGTGGAGCAGCTGGTGGATTCGAACTGCTGGTCTTTGGGCCAGCTGCCTGGCACACTGCCCAATACACCACCAGGGCTCCCTTAGGTGAAAGAAGTCAGACACTCAAGGATGAAGGAAAGGTAACCAGGACATGAGGAAGGACCCAGATGGCACACTGGCTAAGCGTTTAGTTGCTAACTGGAAGTCTAGCAGTTCAAACCCACCCAGGGATGCCTTTTCTCCTGCAAAGGTGCCGGCAGGAAACACCGTGGGGTAGTTCTGCTGTCACGTGGGGTCACTGTCAGTCAGTCACCTTGACAGCATCCCACGGCAACAGCAGCAGTGCAGTGGGTGCCAGGTTGGGTTCTGGGTGCTGAAGGTTCAGCCGAGAACCGGAGAGGTGTTCGCGGGCAAGGCCCTCTCACCTGTGCCTGGTCGGGGAGGGTGTATGGTGAGCACAGGGTGGGGGAGAGCCTGCAGAGTCCCTCAAGCTGACCAGAGCCCACGGGCTGAGCCCCCAGTCCCCATGGGAAGGGGTGCCGTCCAGGGCCTCACCCTCCCCCGCCCCCTCTGCCCTCAGATCATGCTGTTGGAGACCGCCCGGCGCTACAACCACGAGACCGAATGCATCACTTTCCTGAAGGACTTTACCTACAGCAAGGACGACTTCCACCGAGCAGGTAGGTGGGGGCGCCGCACGCAGGGCTGCTGGACCAGGTCACCGCCGGGGGCCGGGCCTGGAATGGCAGAAAGATGAAGTGCCGCGCTACACACTGGAAGGTTGGTGGTTCGGACTCACCCAGCGGCTCCTTGGGAGAACATCCCAGCGAATGTGATGCTCACAGCAGGATGAACCGAGGACCACACCCCAAAGTTGCTGTCTGGTTGGTGGTCCTCGGGGCTGCAGATCTGCTCCGTGGATGTCCGTGGCTTGTTACCTTCATGGAAACAGACTGCCACATCTGCTGGGTTAGAACTGCTGACCTTTTACCCTTTCAACTAAACCACCTTAGAAAACCCTGGGGCGCTGCTCTCCTCTGTTTCTGGGGGTTGCTTTGCATCAAAAGAGACCCATCAGCTGCCAATGAAGAACCGCAAACAAACCGACCAGGCAGTGAGTAAGTTCTGACTCATTGTGGCCCTGAAGGATGGAGCCCAGCTGCCGAGGCGTTGCAAACTGCCTCATCTTTCTCTGGCCACGTGACTGTTAGGAGCCCAGTGGTTAACCCACTGCACCACCAGGAATCCTGCAGCAGCCTGAATGTAGCTTTTAGCCTGTGGAGGAGGCCCTGCATCCGGCCCCTTCTCACCTGGTTAAGGCCTCCCAGGAACAGTGCATGGCCCACCACAGGGGGTGCGCTGCTTCCCCAAAGGCCCCTCTGCCCACCACCTCCCCCTGCTGGGTCCTGGCTCCTGAAGAGAAAGCCTAGTGCTTGCTGCACACGCATAGGCCCAGTGCTATCTCCCACCCTGCCTGTCACTCTCTCAGCCCTTGCCATGGGGATCTCTGTGTCCCTGATTGGAGCCCACCCAGTGCTCCTACCTCAGGGCTTGCGCTCATCCAGGCCAGCTCAGCTCAGTTCAGAAGCCCTAGAGCGCTCCCGCAGAAAACGAGCCTCCAAAGGGGCTCTAACGCAGAGCGATTCTAAGTTACCAGCTCCTGTTGCCCTGGTTCTGACTGACAGTGACTCCATGTACAGCAGGCCTGATCCTTTCTGATCCTTTCTCAGCCTCAGTGCCTGCTGTGCACTGAGCTGTACGCACGGGGGTCAGTCCATCTCATCGAGGGTCTTCCTCTTTTCTGACTCTTAGGTTTTCTCCCTTCTCTGGGGACTGGTCCCTCCTGATAACATTGCCCAGAGCATGTGAGATGACGTGTCACCGTCCTCACTTCTCGGGAGCACTCTGTTTGCACTTCTTCCCAGATCTGTCTGTCCTTTTCCCCATCCGTGGTTCCTTGGTGTGTTCAGTGTTCACTGCCAACACCGCAGGTCAGAGGCATCAGTTCTGTAAGGCAGGCAGGCTGCCCCGTCAGGTGTCCAAGGCTGCCGATGGCTCTGTGGAAAAAGACTGCCTCACTTTTATCCCATAGAGCGGCTAGTGGGTTGGAACCTCTGACTTTGCCATTACCAGTTGGAGTGCTTAACCAGCGTGCTATGTACAGGGGAGCTCTTTATTTAAAAAATCCCTGAGAGTCATCTCCTGGGCCAGAGAACTGCCCCGCGGGCTTCCCTGACCCAAACCCTCCCCCGGACCCCTCCGCAGGCCTGCAGGTGGAGTTCATCAACCCCATCTTCGAGTTCTCGCGGGCCATGCGGCAGCTGGGCCTGGATGACGCCGAGTACGCCCTCCTCATCGCCATCAACATCTTCTCCGCCGACCGGCCCAACGTGCAGGAGCCCCAGCGCGTGGAGGAGCTGCAGCAGCCCTACGTGGAGGCACTGCTGTCCTACACACGCATCAAGAGGCCGCAGGTGAGGCCCTGGCCCCGGGCCCTTAGTCCCTGCTTCCTCCTGGGGGGCCTGCCTCCTCCTTCCCGGAGGGCCTGCCTCCTCCCTTGGGCCTGCCTGCTCCCTCCTGTGGGCCTGCCTCCTCCTGCAGGTCTGGGCCCGGTTGGTCCTGCAGTGGCTCCCTGAGCTCAGGCCCCTGATGCCCCGTCAAGGAGATAGCCTCCTGTGGGGGTCCTGAACAGGCCAGTTCTTTTCCCTGGAGCCCTGTTTTAACACTGAAAAATCTCATGACCCAGGGAGCTCCCACCAAAAGCAAACGCAGGGTCATCGGGGTCCCTTCACGGTCAGTGGGCTTCCAGGACAGAGTAGAGATACCCTGTAGCGTTCAGAGGCTCTGGCTTCATTGCACATGTGACAGTGTCGGGTAGGCTGGGCCAGTTAGGAAGCAGTGCCCGGCTGCCACCGGTGCTTGCTGTGTGAGGGAGGCCTGAGTCCGGCCAGCGCCGCCCCCTCACCCTCGGCCCTGCCCACAGGACCAGCTGCGCTTCCCCCGCATGCTGATGAAGCTGGTGAGTCTGCGCACGCTGAGCTCCGTGCACTCCGAGCAGGTCTTCGCCCTGCGGCTCCAGGACAAGAAGCTGCCACCCCTGCTGTCCGAGATCTGGGACGTACACGAGTGAAGTGAGGGGCCGCCGTGCTGCCCCGACAGACACTGCTGCCCCTCTGCTTCTTGGGGCGGGAAGGGGGCGTGGGGTCGGCCAGCCCTCCTCCGCCTGTGTGTTGGGCGGACTGCCTCCAGGCCGGCCCCCTCCCTGCCCAGCAAGTCTTCCTGGGAGGACAGAGGGGTCGCTGGTCCCACCCTCTGACCTCTGGCTGCACTCCCAGTGGCCCTCCCCGCCCAGCTTACACCTCCAGCCCACTGCGCACTGCACCTTGAACAGAGGGAGGGGCGTCCACAGCTCTCCTGCCACCCTGGAGAGCACCGGGCCCCTCTCACTCTGCTCCTTTTATTTAATAAAACAAACAAACAAAAAACCAACAAAAAAAACTACCAGAAAAATAAAATATAAATAGAGACTTCCTGTGAGCTGGAGTGCAAGGCAAGTGGTAGAGGAGGTGGGCAGCCTCGGTCACCAGCCCCACCTGGAAAGTGGAACACGGGGCCACCTGCCTGTGGAAGTTGGGTTAGACCGCATCGCAGGGACTCACGTGGAGGAGGGCACAAGGCCTTTACTCAAACTGCTGAGGCCCACAGCAACCAGCCACCACTACCTGTGGGCATAGACAGACAGACAGACACACACACACACACACACACACACACCTGGGGTGCAGACAGGCTATAATCTGGAAGGCTTAAGGTGCAGATCCACTGAAAAGTGCCTCAGAAGAAAGGCCTGGCAACCAGCTGCTGAGGACGCAGCCATTGAGAGCCTGTGGAGCTCGGTTATGTTCTTACCCTGGTGGGCTAGTTGTGCTCTAGGTTCAACTCCAGTACGATCAGCTTGCGGGATCCAGGCCTGGCTGGGCGCTCTGGGTCCCAGATGATAACCAATCAACCAATTTTGAATGCTTCCCTCAGTAAAACCTGGTGGCGTAGTGGATTGTGTATCAAGCTGTCTACCTCAGCTGGGCGTCTGTTTCTGTGAAGATTATATCCTTGGAGGGCACTCTGGTGGCCTTGTGGCAGGAGGCGGCTCTGCAGCCCCAAAGATTGTATCCTTGGGAAATGCAATACACAATAAGGAGGTAACATTACAACACAAAATGTTTGAAACACACACACACACACACACACCCTCAGCCTTGGAGGTGAATATTATAACAAAATGTTCACACACACCCTTCCACCCTTGGAGGTGAACATTTTAACACAAAATGTTAACACACACACACACCCCAGCCTTGGAAAACGTGGGCAGTTCTAATCTGTCCTATAGATGTGAGTTGGAATCCACTCAATCCCAGTGGGTTGGTTTTGGGTTGTTGTTTTTTTTTTTAAACAGTTAAACTGTTAAACTTGCAAGAGCTGGAATCCACTTAAGGCAGGAAATCTGCCGGAGAAGGAAAACTTAAAATACTCTATTTGGGAGTCCCAGAAAACAATGCCAGCCCAGGGAACTTAAATTACTGCTAAGTATGTCACACAGAGGAGGTGCGTGCTAGGCGCCAGCTCAGCGTTCCTGCATTTACAGAACAAAATGCCAGTCCTGCCCCGACTTTCCAGTTGCTCACTTTACATTAGGTGCTGGTTGGTCAACTACGACTCTTAGTGACTCTGTGAACAAAAGATTGAAACCTCCTCCTGTCCTGTGTAGTCCTCACAATCTCCGCTGCTCACAGGTACAGAGAAGACATTTGCAACCAGTTAGTGCAAGCCAGCGGGATATGGATGTGGGCAATAATGGGCATCCTCCCTGTGGTTGGGCTCTGTGGTAAGGAGTTGTACTGTTAGCCCAAAGATACAGGGTTCAAATCCGCTAGATGAGAATGAGGGGCAGTCTCTTCCTGTGCAATTTACTGCCTCTAAAAAACTCACTGGAGGGTCAGCTTTGAGTTGGTTCACAATAATCTACAGAGAGACAGCTCTGGTGTCCTAGTGGGTAAGGAGTTGTACTCTAAACACAAAAGCGGATGGTTCGAAACCACCAGCTGGTCCTTGGAGAAAGATGGACACTATCCTGTGCAATTTACAGCTTCGGAAAATTTGCTAGAGGATGAGCTATAAGGCAAAGGCAAAGAGTGAGTGAGTGAATCTCCAGTACTGGAACCTATCTCTTCCTAGACCATCTGGTGGGATTGAACCGCTAACCACCAGCTTTTTCTGTTTGTTAGTTGCCGCTCTTACAGCCACTTTGCCCACCAGGGCTTGTTTATTTGGGAATCTCTCATTGTCATCGAGTGGCTGACTCTCCAGAGAATTTCCAATTGTTGTAAATAGAACAGGACATTGACCAGCAGAACAACTGGTGGATTCAAACCTCTTACCTTTGGGTTGGCAACACAACTCCTAACCCACCGGCCATCAGGAAATAGGGACTTTTAAATAGTAGCGGCCTGTGGCAAAGCAACAGTGGTGTCTGGGAGGCGAGCTAAGGCTTTGCTGAGATGTAAAATGTTCGGGCAGCTGGAGAAGAAACTTGTTAATTTTTTTTCCTACTAGTTTATTTACAAAATTCGAATACATTGTTTTCAAGAATAAATTGTTTCCACTTCCCTTATGCCTCCCATTCATCAAATTGAACCACCCCAGAATTAATTGTTGATATTTTTAAAAAAATTTATTTTATTTTGTGTATGCGGTCAAATCGGATCTGACTGGTACAGGAGGAGATTGCCCTTCCTTCTCCAGCAGAGGATCTGTTGCATTTGTGTTGAGTTGATTTAAAGTAAAGACAGGCCACTGAGTTCCTACAATTCCTTCTCCCTCTGAGCCAACTCGTTAGACACAAAGTTGGCAGGACAGACAGTCTCAGAAATGAGAGTGGGTGGGGGCGAGTAGCAGTGGTGTGTGTCTGTTGGCAAGGACAGACCACGTACCAAAGAGGAGGATGTTTATCTAGTTATCTGTGATCACCCTGTTCCGGACAAGTGTCCCCGTCCTGCTCTGGTCTAGTGTGCAGAGGAAGAAACGAGGTCAAGAGACAGATAAGGGTAGTTCAGGACCAAAGTTCCGGTCGGCCAGGGTCCGCACTGGACAGCGTAGGTGGACAGTGGCAGAGCGCCCAGAGCGCCCAGTGCGCGGCCCCACGTGGACGTATGCAGCACTCAGGGGATGCGCGCGCAGCATCCGCGGGCGGGGCGGCTGGGAAGAGGGATCGCAGAAAAGTTAGAGCCAATGAGCGAACAGACAAACTCGCGGTTGGGCGTGGCCCACCTTCAAGCTCCACAAAGTGGGCGTGGCTTTGATATACCTCAACCAGGAAGGGGCGGAATTTGAGGAGGATTGGCTGGCAAGGGGAGAGACCCTCCCACTCTATTTGCATGAGCGTGGCCTGTTTCCAAATGAAAGAATGGAGAGAGGAGGGGCGGGGCAATTTGATAACTGGGCGTGGCCTTGCCTGTTTATAGAGTGAAGGGGGCGTGGCTGAGCCCGGCTCACGTCACTGTGCGCCTGCGCACGCTGGTGTCAGAGGTTACGGCGGCGTCCGCTGTGGCGGGAAAGGCTGTTTGAAGCGGGTGAGTTGTAGGACCGAGTAGAGTTGGGGGGCTTCTGCCTTATATGGGAGTCAGCTCCAAGAGCTGGGCATTTAGGTCTGAGAAGGGCTTGTGGAGGGTCGTGTGGGACCCGGCGGCAGGAGGGAGACTGCTCAGGGGGACGCGCGCGGAATAAGGGCCCGGGATGCCCTAGCGCGTGCGCGGGGGGCCGCGGGGAGATGTCAGCGGGGGTTCCCGCTGGGTGCCGGCGCGCATGCGCACGATTCTCTGCGCTCTAGACCTCGGGGGACCAGTTAGAGGGGTCTTTGGCTCGCCTGGATCGCGAGTTGTTTGAAGATGTGCGCGCGGGGCGTGTTGACATTCTGTTACCTTCATTTAGAAGCTAAAGATTTCTTTTCTCCCTTCTGTCGTTCTTGCTAGAACTGCTGACACTTGAAACTAGTTGCCAGTTAATTTGGACTCTTAACGTCATGTGTGTAAACTTGTGCTCTTGTAGAGTTTTGGTGGTTATTTGCCATCAAATCAGAAGCTGACTTCACTGCTGACCCTCCAGCAGCTTTTCAGAGGCTGTAAAATTGCACAGGATTAGATTTTGCTAATTTTTCTTAGGCATAGCAGCTGGTGGATTCGAACCGCCTGCCTTTGGGTTGTCAGCACAACCCCTTAAAGACACTTGAGCTCCTTGTAAAGTTTTTAATGCTGCTTTTCCAGCAGTACTAGCCAGGTCTTCCGAGGTGCCTGTGGATGGAATCACCCCTCCAACCCTTCTGATAAACTGCTAGGAAGTTAATTTAGTTTAGTTAGGGGATCCAGCGACACTTGACAGCACTGAACGCAAGTGAGCCCTTAGTGTCGTCGTAGTAGATAAACATCTGGCTGCCAGCTAAAAGACTGGCAGTTCGGACCTACCAGCTGCTCCGCAGAAGATGCTTTTGGACAGCTTTAGAAGAAGCCTTATGGGACGCTTTTACCTTGTTCTATAGGGTCGGTGTGAGTTGGAATCGGATTGATGGCAGAGTTTTCTTTTGGGAAACTCATGACTTGAAGGATCCCTGGTGGTGCAGCGATTCAAGACTGCAGCTGCTAACCAGAAGGTTGGCAGTTCCAACTCACCAGGTGCTGGTGGGAGAAAGATGTGGCAGCCTGCTTGCGTGCATAAAGATTTAGAAATAAAGGGAGCTCTGGTGGCCTAGTGGCAAGAAGCTGCACTGCAATCCCAGAGGTGCGTGGTTCAAATCCACCAGGTGCTCTGCTGAAGAAGGAGGGACAATCTCCTCCTCTACCAGTCAGATCTGATTTGACGGTACACACACAAAAAAATAAAAAAAAAAAAAAGATTTAGAAATAAAGATTTATAGCTTTGAAAATCTTGAGGGGTGGTTCTGCTCCGTCCTATAGGGTCCCTGTGAGTCAAAAATCAACAAGAAGTCATATGACTTTGGGAAGTCATGTGACTTGAAGTGGCTTTTGTTCCAGGCACCCTGAGGATCCTGACTTGGGACCTCAGCCAAGGTGTGCATGTGTCATCAGGGAAATAGGTGTGGAAACCCCGAGAGGTACCTGTTGACCACCCTGGACACGTGGAACTGGGTTTGTTTCCAAGGGTGCTCAGGAGTTAGATGATCAAGGGAGAGGAAGATTTGATCCTGCAAACACTTCTCCAGGCTTCCTGGAGCCAGCCTTGTGTTGGATAATGGTAGGTAACCAGAGAGGAGTGAGGCCTATACTGGAGAGACTTCTGGGCTGGTGGGAGAGGCCACTAGAGGCCCAGATAATCCCAGACTACTGCCAGGGTAGGGAAGGGACGAGGCTGATGTGTGGAGGGCATGGAGTTTTCTAGGGGGCAAGAATGGAGGCTTATGCACTTAGCAGATGTGTGTGGTCCGGATTTACAGCAGAGAACGAACAGGTAAACCCTCATCTTCAGAGCCTGCCTGCCCCACAGGGCTGAGATCTGACAGGACAATTCTTGCTCTCCCTCCCTATTCTCTCTCTTCCCCCAACACACAGGGCTGGGAGTAGAATGACGTGGTATCTGATAACCCCCAGGGCTCTGAAGCCAAGCAGCCTGAGATTGACCCCGACTCTGGCCCGTCAGACTGGCTGTGTGTGCTTGGGCTGGTTGCTTTCCCTCTCTGGACCTGGGCTCCAGCTGTCGTAAAAGGGAGTGATAACAGTACCTGTCTAATGCGTTTGGCGAGGGAAGCCTGTGAGTCCCTGCCTTTGTCATTCAAGCAGAAGTTTATGGATTCCCTCCTTTGTCCTAGGGAGCTCTGGTGACCTCATCTGTAACCTAAATGCCACACCCCTCAGGTGGTTCGAATCCCCCAGCAGCTCCGTGGGAGAATAATGGGCAGCATCCTGCTTTCAGATGTATGTCCTCAAACACAGTTTAGTTGGCTTTGTGTTGGGCCTGGCTTGATGGCAATGAATGAGTGACTCCCTGTGTCCCAGGCATTCTTCTGTTGTTGTCTACCATGGAGTTGGAACCGACCCCTAGCTGTCCCTCGGGAGGAGATTGCCCATCCTTCTCCCTCAGAGCACCTGTTGGCCTCAAACTGTGTGCCTTGGAGATTGCAACGCAGCTTCTTGACACTAGGCCGCCAGAGCTCTCTTTGACACTAAATATTGTTTGGTGTCACCAAATCAGCGTGAAACTGCCATGTACGGTTTCCAAGGCGGCAATTGTTTCGGTAGCAGACTGCGTCATCATTCTCCCACGGAATGGATAGTGGAGTCAAACCACTGACGTTTCTTTGACCAGAGTGTGGACAGAGGCCGGATCACTTGGAGGGCTTGTTAAGTAAGACACAGATTGCTAGACCCCAAAGCCAGTTTCCCAGGCTCTCACTTTGAGAACAGCACTGTAGCTGTGGTGCCTTGTGTCAGGCTGCTAACCAGAATGTTTGGCAGTTCGAATCCACTAGCTCCTTCCTGGGAGACTATGAATAGTGGCTGCCTAGAAAGCTTTACAGCCTCATCAGTAAAGCGGATAGAGGGACAGAATGTGTCAGAATCGGCGAGATGGCAGTGGGTTTGTTTTCTAGGTTTGAGTGCAGTTCATCAGGTGATGAGGGCTTGCAAGAAAAATGAAGCAGGGAAAGGCGTTGGAGAATGTGGAGATGGAGATGTGGAGCAAAGGGCTATACTTTTAAACAGTGGTCAGGGAAAACCTCACTGAGAAGCCTCACTGGCTTTTTGTTTTTTTAAATTTTAATAAAAGTTTACAGAGACTTAGGGTTTCCAGTCGTTCATTGTTGCACTTTTCTTCCTATCCACCCCCTAACCCCCAATTCACTCTTCTCCTTGAAAAGAAAGAAAAACTCTTTCATTGCTTTGTAATCCCCCCTCCAAGTCCACTCCACTGTGCAGCCTTCACTCTGGACTTCAGTAATGACAAGAATACCCATTCATATGTCCCTTTTAAACAGTTCTCTCCCTCATCTGTTTCAAGGGAATATACATCATTCCTCCCCTCCTTTTCTGTCTTCCCTCCACCCTGGTGTCAGTCCCGTTTTACAACAGTGGCCCTATGCCACTGTGTCCTTTTGTGACTGAGATATTTCACTCAGCATAATGTCCTCCAGGGTCATCATTTTGCACAATACTGCATGAGTTCCTTGTTTTTCAATGCTGCATAGTATTCCATTGTGTGAATATACCAGAGCTTCTCTATCCATTTGTTTGTTGATGGGCACTTGGGTTGTTTGCATCTCTTTGCTGTTGCAAACAAAGCCGTAATAAACATGGGTGTGTATCTCACTGGCTTTAAGAAACTTTTTTTTATATACTGATTTACATACAGGGTTTATATATGTTGTTTTTCACACCAGATCTTTCCCCTTTCCTTTACCCACCCCTCTGTCCACCCATAAGATTGTGTGACCCTCTGATGGGCCTGGTGGAAGGGAGAGAGGGAGGTCTGGAGGCTTGGAGGGGAAGAATATTCAGAGACACAGAATAGCCCGTGCAGGCAGTGGTGTCACTGAAGCTGGCCTCATCTGCCCCGTGGGTGGGGCCAGTTGTGAATAACTGCAGTGCCATCTGCCAGTCAACAAGGCCTCCTGTTGGCCAGGGCTACCCTTTGGTCAGTGCCAGTGGTGTGCGCTGTGGCCTGTAGGCCGGGCCTTCCCTGGTGGGAGAGGCGGG